TATGAACCTTATTTCAACTTAAATAAGTCTGTGAATTGACCTAATTGGAAGTGTTTTATCATCAATAATAATATGACACATTTTTCAGAACCAAATTTGAAAATGACTAATAATAACAGTGAACTGTTATTGGGAACGCCTTCCTGAAACTTTAAATGCTATAGTCTTGTACCATCAGCAATGAATTATAGCATACATGATACAGCATTTTGTGATGTAAATATGGTTCTAGGGCTCAAGCACTGTGGTCAATCATATAAAAAATAAAAGCATAATATAAACATTCAAATAGCTTAGTTTTACTGTTACTTCTTCATGCTTTCTAAATCTAAATCTCTTGTGATTGACTGTTAAAATATTACACATCTATAATATAATTCTAAACTCAACAATACAGAAACAAATTAAATGTTGGAATTTTTACCTGAGTAAAAACTTTGGTAAAATGTAAGACAGTTTTTCTTTTAAATCTTTATACTTTTTCATTTAAAACCTTCATCCTTTGCCAGATTTTAATCTGAAATATGTTTTAAGATTGCTTTGTAATTAAATCTTTTAATGTAATTAGCTAACAAAGAAGTTCACAAAGAGAAACAGACTCATTCTTTATTAAAATCAACAACTTTTATTCAGGATATCTATTTTGAGCAGATTATTATATAGATGCCTACTTAAAACAACTAAAAACACATTGTGATTATGATGTTTATAAAAAGGTATTTCTAGGTTGTCCACAAAACTTAATTTTAATACTAGTTTTTATAGAGAAAAAAATTCATTTAAATATTTTACAATTACAACTAGACTCCAAACATAGATTTGATTCTATGTTTATTTTGTAAGCAAAACCTACTTTTATGTTAGTGGAACAAAGAACTAATTGAAAGTACAAGCTAGTTCTTTAGAATTTTTTAATTTCCATTTCATTTTAAACACATTTTTGAAACTTTAGTTATTGCAGGCATGAGTTAGTGTAACAGCCATAGAGAAAGAGTCTGCCTCAAGGTGTTACACGTAAAAATCTCCATTCAAAGATAGATTGGACAACATGAAGTCAACTTTAAATACACTCTGCTATGAGTTTTTCCTGGCATATAATCTGAACAATTTCATGGAGTCATCTCTATCTCTTTAAATGGATATATATTCTGATTTGGTGGCTATTCTAAGAATTACTTTAGGGTTATTAGGTAAATATAGTAGATATTCAGAACAGAATATAAGCATAAAATTATTGTGGGTTCAATATAGCTGGGATATAGAGGGAAATCTTTCATTTGTAGAGGTAACTTCAAAATATCCCTGACTTTCTGAAGGCAAAGTATGTAAAAAGTGCATTTATTTTCAATCCCATCCATACATAAAAAGGAGTATTGGGGGCATATTTCTACTTTTAACTTTCTTTCTCTATAATCAGGAAACTAAAACACGAAAGGTCTCTATTCACACAGAGATCGCTTTTTTTCCATTTAAAGCAACTCACTTGCTTTGCTTTTCACTGTTTTTATTGTCCTTATTATCTTTGTACTTTAGTTCAGAACAATAATAAACAAACACAAAATTTTTTTGTAGTGTTAAACATAGAAAAAATCAAATCCAACTGTTAAAATATTTTGATTTAAAATACTTGTTATTCCCACATAGTTATAACAATACTTTATTTGTTTTACAGCTCTCCCTCTGATCCTGAGCAATTATTAAATCAAAATAATACAATGTCAGCAACCAACTACTTTATTGACATCATAGCTTTATTTTTGAAGGGCAAAATGGCAAAACAGTAGATATCTTACTTTTTTCTTCCATCATGTCACACAGTCTGGGTGGGGAGATTCTTTTCTTTCTGAATCCTGTCTGACTTATTGCTTCACAAGTATCTCAGTCAGTATTTTATTAATTGTTGTTCTTTTCAACTTTGAATGAATCAAATACTACTTGTAGTTTTGTGGGGGTTAAAATAATACTGCAGTTTATACTTTTGACAGAGTGAAAACAGTGCAAGATACTTCTGTGAGATGACTAACAGTTTGATAAATTTTTATTGCATTATATTTTTAATACTGGTCAGAGTATTTTACTGTCTTAATAATATAGCTTGGAAACATCAAGGTGCTATCATTTGGTAATCATAATGTTTTCTTTTTAATATAAGAAAATACTATTTTATGAAATGGGTCTGTTTTTAAAGGGATAATGGTTGGTTAAGAGTAAACCATAATTTAATTAAATACTGTACTATTATGTATCACCATTTCTCACAGGCGTTAATATTCCCTCTTGGGTCAGGCGTGGTGGCTCATGCCTATAATCCCAGTACTTTGGGAGGCTGAGGTGAGAGAATTGCCTGAGCCCACAGGTTCGAGACCAGCCTGGAAAAATTGGTGAGACCTCATCTCTACAATAAATCAAAAAATTAGTCAAGCATGGTGGTGCATACCTGTAGACTCAGCTACTTGGAAGACTGAGGCAGAAGGATCACCTGAGCCCAGTAGGTCAATGCTGCAGTGGTCGTGAGCTTGCCACTGCACTCCAGCCTGGGCGACAGAGTGAGACTCCAACTCAAAAAAGAAAATTCTCTCTTGGAAACAAATGCAATATATCAAATTAAATATACACTACCTCTTTTCAATAGTCAAATAATGTTTCATACTTCCCTTTGACTGGTAAAATATAATATATTCTGACCAAAATCTGATTGTCTGTTTATCTATACATAGGTTTATGTAGATAGATTGCTTGAATGTTTCTAAGTACAGGACTCCATTTTTAAATACAATGATTTATTATAGGTAAAGTAGGTAATGAATTAAACGTATCTTTTCAAACCACAATAAAAAATTTAGAAAGACTTTCTTTTAGTCTTAATGTCTAGTGGAGAAAACAGCATTGCACTGTAAAAATATTTTTAAAAGCCTATAGTTTAAAAGAACACTCACTTTGATTATAATTATGTGTATAATTTGATGTAATGTTTTAAATTAGATAGAAGTAGCCAAATTATGAGGGACTAGGTACTGCTATTGAGACTACTGTTCCTTTACCATTCCTTCTCAGTATTCTTTTTTTGAAGTGGTTCTTTTTTTTTTCTTTATTTTAAAGATGTGGGGTACAATTCAGGGTTAGGTATACAAATGTTCATTATGCAGGTACCCTTGTTGTTGAGGCATGCCCCTCCCTCCCCTGGCAGTTTCCTTCAACTACAAATCCCACCCACTCTCCCCCGGAAGTTTCCCACTACTGCCAATCCCTTTCTTATAGTATTATGATAATTGTTCAAGGTTCGCTTTTGAGTGAAAACATATGTTCTTTGTTTCTGTGATAAATCACTGAGTATGATCTACTCTAAATTCATCCAAGTTGCTGCGAAGTTCGTATGTTTGTCCTTCTTTATGGCTGCCTAATACTTCATTGTGCATATGTACCACATTTTTTTAATCCAGTCCAGCTTAGATGGGCAGCATGGTTGGTTCCATGTTTTTACTTTTGTGAATAGAGCTGCAACAAACATGCATGTGCAGGTATATTTTTGTAGAATGATTTGAGTTCCTTCGGGTATATTCTCAATAGGGGAATTGCTGAACCTTATGGAAGGTAGATTTCTAGTTCTTTCAGAAATCTCCACACTGTCTTCCAAAGAGGGCACACTAGTTTGCATTCCTACCAGCAATGTAGAAGTGTTCCTTTTTCTCTGCATGCTCGCCAGCATCTGTTGTTTGTTTTATTAATGATCATTAATGATGGCCCTTCTTGCTGGGTTTGATGGTATCTCAGTGTGGTTTTGATTTGCATTTCACTGATGATGAGTGAGGCTGAGCACTTTTTCCTGTGTCTGCTGGCTGCCCATATATCTTCTTTTGAGAAGTGTCTTTTTCATGTCTTTTTCCCACTTTTTAATGGGGCTGTTTGTTCTTTTTCTTTTGGCACATTTGAGTTCCTTGTAGATCCTAGATGTTAGACTTTTGTCAGGTATACAGTTGGCAAATATATTTTCCCATTCTGTGGGTTGTCTCCCCATTCTCTTGATGGTTTCTTTTGCTTCACAGAAGCTTGTCAGTTTGATTAGGTCCCACTTGCCTGTCTTATCTCTTATGGTATGGGGACTTGGGGTTTATATCAAGAATTGATTGCCAGTTTCACTTTCCATAAGGGTGCCTCCTGCATTTTCTAAGTTTCTTATGGTTTGAGGTTTTACTCAATGAGAGCTACAAAACACTGCTCAAATAAATCCAAGACACAAACAAATGGAAAATTGTCCATGCTCATGGATAGGAAGAATCAACATTGTTAATATGTCCATCCTACCAAAGGCAATCTACAGATTCAACACAATACCCATTAAATTATCAACGTCATTCTTCTTAGACCTGGAAGTGACAATACGGAAATTCATATGGAAACATAAATGACCACGAATAGGCAAAACAATCCTTAGCAAAAGAAACAAAGCAGGAGGTATCACACTTCCATACTTCAAACTTTACTATAAGGCTACAGTAATCAAAACAGCCTATTCTTGGCACAAAAACAGGCATACAGAAAAATGGAACAGGATAGATTCTGGAAGCAAAGCCTCAATTTTTCAACCAACTCATCTTTGACAAAGCCTCCAACAACAACAGCTGGGGAGAGAAGAACCTATTCAGTGAATGATGCTAGGAAGACTGGCTGATCACATGGAGAAGATTGAAACAGAATCCCTACCTATCACCATACACAAAAATTAACTCTAAGTAGTGGTTCTTAAAATGTGGATCCCTGACCATCAGGTGGGACCCAGAAATTTGTATGTTTACAAGCCTTCTGATGCATGCTATAATTTGATAACCACTATTTTAAACCAATAATTTTACTATTTCTTCTGTGTTTGTGTGTGTCTGTGTGTCTTTGTGTATATGCATATAATTTGTAGGATTACTAGCTGGGGGCATCATTATATTACTCATATATAATATCTATAATATCTGTAAAATAGCTTTATTTTTGCTTTTCTTCTCTTTGTAGTTTGCCTGGTTGGTTCATGACTTTATTAAATGATAAGATAACAATTCCTGTCTTCACTGAAAGATCCACTGAATTATCATATTAACTCAACTCTATTTCATTTTTGACAGTAATCCTTCCACTGTAAGTCTTAAAGAGAATTCTTTCTCATTTTCTTGAAAATATAGTTCTAATATAAATATTGAAAGGAAATCAGTGGCTATGTTCCCTTTTTCTTCCCATGGTCAGTGAAACAATAGGGTTGTGGTAAGGATAATAATTATACTTTACCTATTATGCAAATATCAATTCATAGTCTTTTATGAAATCTTGGCAAATTGCTTGCTTTTCTTTGTATTCCCAGATGAATTTAAACAGTTGAATAATGGAAATCACTTTTTAAAAATTTCAATGTTTACTACAGTGAGAAAAGTGTTAGCTTAAAAGGTAAGTAAATTAGAAGGTAGAAAGTCAAAACACAATTCATATGTTCTGCATTGTGAACTACTAAATGACCTCCACATTTGGAAAAGAATAATTAGAAATTTCAGGTTGTATGTGTTTGCTGAGGTTTATGTGGCAAATTACTGAAGTGTTTCTGCTTTGAATCTGGCCTTTTAGCCTGTGAAATTATAGCTTTGTACTTCATGCTCAATAATCACATTTTCAGAACTAAGAACTGTACTGTACCCAAGACAGTAAGCAATGTGAATGGTTTTGTTGGAGTTTTCCCACATTTTCTATGAAAGTCATCCAAAGTTTATTTTTAACCATGCTTTTTGGTTCAGAAAATTCAAATTAAGTTTTCCAGAAAATTGTCTAATGTGTTCATTGTCTTTGATAAATGAGGGATTGACTTTGCTGCATGAACTATAGCAGTTAGGTGTTGAATCATAATCTACACATGAAGATATCTTATTACTTTGATGTCATATTTGAAATTTATACTAATAGCATTATATTATAATGCATATTATATGAAAGTGGACAGTAGCTGTGCCAGGAAAGTGTAACATTACTGTCAAATATCTATGTTTATAGAGGTCAGCTTTGGTGGGGGTATGTATAGATTTTATATCAGTGAAATTACTTGCATTTATTCTATTGTTTCATTATATTTTGTGTGCGCATACAAGTCTATATGTGCATATATGTTTATGTGAATGTATCACAGATTTATTATCATAATTATGCTTTTTATCTAGGGCTATTTTTAAAATTTATAATTTGAATTTTCTTATCACATAACAGTAGAGATAGTGAGATGATAGCTCAGAATTCCTCAGTTCATTTTCCCATGGTAAAAGTGGGAAAACTATATGTTTATTACCAATATGTTAACTCAATGGAAACATAAACTTGATTTGAAAAACAAGCTAATGTACTTGTGACTACAGAAAGGTTAAAAAAAAACTAGTTATTAAAGTCCTGCTTTGGACAGTTGTGTAATATGTTGCTCACCCAAGAACACAGTTTCCCCACATCCAAACAAGTCGGCTTCACCGTTTTTATTGTTATCCTGAAATACTAGGCCTAAGCCTTTTTTGTGTGTTTATTTGAGTCAGAGTCTCACTCTGTTCCCAAACTGCAATGCAGTGTCATGATCACAACCTTGACTTCCCCACCTCAGCCTCCCAAAGAGATTTTAGGTGTGAGTCACTACACCCAGCCTTAAGCCTAAGCTATTTCATATGTGTATTTTTTTTTAAAGCTCATGAACAATTCGTAAGACTAGAAAGTTTGGAAATAATTAATGTAGGTGATCAAGTGGCAACTGAAGAGTTACACATTGATGAACAGTTTTCCTACACCAATTTCCTAGTACTAAGTAAAGTTAAATTTTAGACCTCTTTCTGGTCTTTGCAGAATTTTACTAGGATTTTATTTGAGAAACAAAATTCTGTCTCCTTCCTTACTTCACTAATATCTATGAGCAGAACCAAGACATAAAGTGGAGCTTTCTATTTATTGAATTGAAGGATATCTTTGTGATCACGAATGTCTGTATTTCGGCAATTAGTTAACTCAGTAATGTCTCTGGATGGTGGTGTTTGCATATAAAGATTCTGGGAACTTTTCAAAAATTTTTATTATATAAATAGGTTTAGGGGGGTACAAATGGTTTTTGGTTACATAGATGCATCGTATAGTGGCGATGAAGTCTAAGCTTTACTTGTAGCAACTACTCTCACCTATGTGCATTGTACCTGATAGATGATTGTTTATCCCTACCCAGTGGCAATTTCTATAGGTCAAAGAATTTGTTAATTTCAGTAATGTTAGTATAACACCATAGATATTATTCTTCATTTTCAGATTATAGATGATTTATATGAGGATTGTAGGCCTAGGATTAGGTCACTAAATTTTTAACTTTTCACTGATATTGACAAAGGAAATTTGCCAGTAACGAAAGGAAAATTACTGTTTACAAAAGAAATTTGCATATTAGGAAGGAATTTTAGAACTTACTATAATCAATTAAAAGGATATAGTTTATAAGAAATACATCTAAAATGTATACTAGGTAAATTGTTGATCTTTTTAAATTTTTTTATTTTAAAATTGTGGGGTACAATTCAGGGTTAGGTATACAAATATTCATTGTGCAGTTACGCTTGTTGATGAGGTATGCCCTGGTTTCCCAAGGGAGTTTCCCACTACTGCCAATCCCACCTTCCCACCCCCTGATGCTGCCGCCATTTCCTGCTACTGTCAATCCATTTCTTATAGTATTACAATAGTTGTTCGAGGTCCACTTATGAGTAAGAACATGTGATACTAAGTTCTTTGTTTCTATGAAAGATTACTCAGTATTAAGACTCTAAGTCCATCCAGGTGGCTGCAAAGTTCATGATTTTGTTATTCTTTATGGCTACATAATATTCCATCATGTATATGTACCACAATTTTTTTGTCTGGTCCTCTTGATGGGCAGCATGGTTGGTTCCATGTTCTTGCTATTGTGAACAGTGCTGTGACAAACATACATGTGGAGGAATCTTTTTTATAGAGTGATTTGAGTTCTTCCAGGGATATTCTCAGTAGAGGGATTGCAGGGTCATATGGAAAGTCAGTTTTTAGAATTTTTACGAATCACCACATTGTTTTCCACAGAGGCTACACTAGTTTACACTCCCACCAAAAGTGTAGAAGTGTATTCTTTTCGCCACATCCTCTCCAACCATCTGTTGTTTTATGAGTTATTGATGACAGCCGTTCTGCCTGGAGTTAGGTGGTATCTCAGTGTAGTTTTAATTTGCATTTATTTGATGACTAATGAGGCTGAACATTTTTTCATGTATCTGTTGGTTGGTCATATGTCATCATTTGAGAATTGTCTTTTCATATGTTTTGCCACTTTGTAAAGGGGATTTTTTTTTTCTTTTCAGCATGTTTGAGTACCTTGCAGATCCTAGATGTTAGGCCTTTGTCAGACATAAGAGTTGGCAAATATTTTTTCCCAGTCTGTGGGCTGTCTCCCTACTCTCTTGATGGTTTCTTTGGCTTTGCAGAAGCTTGTCAGTTTGATGAGGTCCCACTTGTCTATCTTATCTCTTATAGCCTGGGCACTTGGGGTTTTGATCAGGAATTGGTTGCCAGTACTAATTTCCATAAGGGTGTCTCCTGCATTTTATAAGGTTCTCATAGTTTGAGGTTTTACGTTTAGGTATCTGATACATTTAGAGTTGATTTTTGTGTATGGGGATAGGTAGGGGACCTGTTTCAATCTTCTGCATGTGGTCAACCAGTTTTCCCAGCACCATTTATTGAATAGGTTCTCCTCTCCCCAGTGGTTGGTGGTGGAGGCTTTGTCAAAGTTGAGTTGGTTGAGAAATTGAGGTTTTGCTTCTGGAACCTCAGTTCTATTCCATTGGTCTCTATGCCTGTTCTTGTACCAATACCAGGCTGTTTTGATTATTGTAGCTTCATAATAAAGTTTCAAGTCTGGGAACGTGATCCCTCCTGTTTTGTCTTTTTGTGCTGAGGATTGTTTTGACTATTGGTGGTCATTTTGTTTCCATATGAATCCTGTATTGCTGTTTCGAGGTCGGAGAAGAATGTTGCTGGTAAATTGGTGAGGATTGCAATAAATCTGTAGATTGCCATAGGTAGAATAGACATCTTAACAATGTTGATTATTCCAATCCGTGAGCATGGAATATTTTTCCACTTGGCTTGTGTCATCTTTGATTTCTTTAAGCAGTGTTTTGTAGTTTTCATTGTAAAGGTCTTTCACATCTCTGGTTAGGAAGATGCTAAGGTATTTCAATTTTTTGTGGCTATTGTGAATGGAATTGTGCTTTTTATTTGGGTTTCTGTTTGTTTGCTATTGGTATAAAGAAATGCGATAGTCTTCTGCACATTTATTTTATACCCTGAGACTTTGCCAAAGTCCTTTATTAGTGCAAGGAGGTTTTTGACAGATTCTCCTGGGTTTTCGAGGTATAGAATCATGTCATCTGCAAAGAGTGATAACTTCATGTCCTCTTTTACTATTTGGATACCCTTGATGGCCTTCTCTTCTCTGATTGCACTAGCTAGAACTTCCAAAACTATGTTGAACAGGAGTGGTGTGAGTGGGCATCCTTGTCTTGTTCCAGTTTTCAGGGGAAATGGTTCCCATTTCTGTGTATTTAGCAGTATGCTGGCTGTGGGCTTCTTGTAGATGGCTCTTATTATTTTGAGGTATGTTCCATCTATGCCTAGATGTTTGAGGGTTTTTTTTTTTTACCTGCCACGTACCCGGAACTATAGGTGAGCACTACCACACCCAGCTAATTTTTTTGATTTACTGGAGAGACAGGTCTTGCCAAGTTGTCCAGGCTGGTCTCAAGCCTGCGGGCTCAGGCAATCCACTCGCCTCGGCCTCCCAAAGTGCTGAGATTATAGGCTGAGCCACCAAGTCTGGCCCACGAATAGATTTTAAAAGAGACAAATTTCCCATTATACTCTTAGCCAAATGTTTTGTAAAATCAAGTTCAAATTTGAGTTTTCTTGTGGATCACAAAACATGTTCCCGGGCCATGTGGATATCTTTATCCACTCGAGAATAGGCTTCTTTGAGGTTCCAAGACAGTAGACATTTCCTGGGAAATAGTTTATAATAATATGTATGGATTCACAACCTTCTAAAGCATTGT